AATTAACAAACCGGCACTGTTGGAAATATATGAACAAAACGAATTGCCGACGGACGGACACTTGTAAAAACGACCGTAGTTAAGCACTTTGTTCGTTGTTTTTGTAGTTTAATTTCTATTTCAAAACGAAACACTCGCGGTTTATGCTCACTAAATAGACGGTACGTACCTTTTTAGTGATGTATTTGTTTTAAAAAATATAAATGAAGGGATGGATAAGGCTGCGAGTGTTTGATGGATGGATGTAGGCACTGGTTGTTGACGAAGTCAAACCTTTGCAAATAAAAAACACAGAGACACAGGTTAGTTTTTTTGTTGTTGCTGGAAGAACGTATCTCGGCTCAAAGAGACCAAAAATGTTGCGGAGCAGCGAAAATGAATAAAAAAGGAAATAAAACACAAAATATTAGAATTTTTAAATTATAAAAATTGGCGGTTTTATTGAATATTAGTCGAAGAACTAATATTATTTACCTTTTTTAACAATGGGTGTTGTGTAGATGTTGTTGGACGAAAATCCGAAAAACAAGTAAGTTAAAAAGTAGCGAGCAAGCCTAGATGTCACAAGAGAGGCGCGAATTGATCATCTTTGCTCGTTACAATTTGTCATCACTAACTTTGAATGAAAGTTCAAAGTTGAATAAAATGGTATTTGACAAATTGAAGAAAAAGAGCAAAGGGTTGCATTTTTAGAGAAATTAAATTAAATTGAAGTTAAACAGTCTGTTTAGTAAAACAAAGTCTAAAATTAAGAAGGAGGAGAAGGACAATGTAGTTTATAGGATAACATGTAATGGGGACGACGCTGACGTATGCCAAAAGTCATATGTCGGCACGACAAAGACGAAATTAAAAACTAGACTTTCCGGACATAAATCGGTTCAAAAAAGTGACAAGCGCCTCGAACAGAAGACTGCTTTAGCTGCCCATTGCACATTGACAGGACATTAACCCGACCTTAAAGTCGTCGACATATTAGCACAAAAAATAATTACAAAAGACAAATTAACATTGGAAATGTTACATATTATAAGTTTACCAAATGACAAACGAATTAATTATAAAACCGATACAGACCATTGTGCTCACAATAGTTGTGTTCCAGTACTTTTTTAGTAGTAAAACTAGCAGAAGAGAGAACAGTTCGAAATGTCATCCTCATTTAGGTTTGCTCAAAAAATAATGGAACGGAAAGTTAGCAGAAATGCGATAAAATGTCAAAATTCAAAATTCCAAAAGTAAACAGACTAAATCGGACTGGTGAAACCTTACTGAAAGGGCTGCCAACATTTAAAAAATGAATATTGAATACGATAAGTTAAAATTAATAATTTATAATAATAATTAATAATCTGATTCCTCATTCAGCCAGTCCTCTACACTGCTGGAATCATCCAAAAGTGAATACATCAGTTGCTCCATATTTTCTCTTTTTGTTTTTTACAGGACAAATATTAGTTTTTCCTTTGTTTTCAAGTTGATCATTTTCTTTATTGAAATGTATCAATACATTTTTCAACCTTGTTAGCCCTGCCAATTAAATGTCAAATTTACAATATGCACAACAACAAGCAGAAATGTGCACCACTCAGCGCCATTTTTTTCTCGAGAGAGCTGCAAGTTTTGCTAGTTTTTGGAGTACGGGAACGCGTTGTAGCAGTATTAGTGCTAATTAGTACTAAATTGCAGGTTCTGGAACACAACTATTGACAGAAGCCTAGTTCATAAACACCGACGAAAGAAAACTTAGTTTAATAGTGACATTTAAATTCAATAGACGAGCTTTTATTTTAAAATTGTATGTTATTTATTGTGTTATATATTGTTAAAATCAGTTTGTAATTTGTGTTTTTTTGTAAAACAGATCCCTGAAGATGATTTCCAGAGGAAATCGAAATATAGGATAAATAAAAAAGGAAAAATTCAAAAATAAAAAACATAATTTTTGATGACCTTAAGCCTAAATGCTTGGCTTAATAAGTAAAAAAATAATAATAATAGACAAGAGTTATTACTTCGAATTAGCCAAGGAAAGTAGAAGTGGTATGTGATTTCGAGTATTACGAGGAGGAATATTAAAGTTTAATTCACTGGTTTAAATAATAGTGCTCCGCCTGCGGTACAGTAGATTCTCATTGTACTCCGGTACAGTATCAGTAAAATATTTTTAATTTTTATATTTATTTACTAAATAAAAGCTTAGTCACATCACCATCGTTTTATAAAACTCAGCAGTGACCTGAATTTATTAACACATGAATCATTATGTCAATTAAAACGCGATTTCTTGTCTAAAATTGCGACAACAACGACGAATGACTACATTATCAAATTTGTAAGAGCCAATGAGGTAATCACGATCAAAAGGTTGTGTTCTACCAATGACAGTTATTAACATTTCTTGATTTTAGCTTCGTACCAATTTTATGTGAGAGGCCATATTAGGATTTTAGAGTAACGTACAACCATTGGAAGGTTATTTAGGTACAGTACAAAAAGAAAAAATATATCATTTTTGAGAGAAACTCTCTGTGTACGAACTTGCAAATATGATGATATCCATGATAAGATTAATGTTGCAAAACCCATTTTGTCAAGTTTATATAGTAATAATATATGACCTACTCTGGCAAAAGCCTTACTGAAATCAGTAAACACCAGCCGAGCGGAATTTATATGCTCCTAAGAGTGCGTCTAAGCTTAGGCCGGTTATTACATCTTGCCGTGAATATCAATTACTTTTAAAAAAAGCTTGCAATATCTGTACAAGTTCCAATACCGTCGTATGGACTTGTTGTGGTTCAAATTCTACTGAGTAGATTTTGAGCCGGAATTTAATGTTGCACAAAGACGAACAACAATATTGTTTAGCAAACTACAAACAAACACAAAAGTATTCTGGCGATACTTACGTTTGTTGTCTGCACAAAAGAAAAAGCACTTTAATAATTAGTATTTCAAAGTTGAAAATGACTCAGTCGGTCAAATTTTTATTTTATAAAAAATTCACAATTTTGATCTGGCGATCCACTTTTCTAAACTTCAAGAAGAAGAGTGCCGTTTTTAGTTTTGTGACGACATCGATAGTTTTATTTATCGAGATCGATTAGATCCATGTCGATGTCGTCATCTATCGGGTTGGGTCTATTCCCAACAATATCTCTGTAAAAAATGCATGTAATAATGTGAACTTTATACTTCACTTTTCCTAAAGTAAGGGATAACAAATGTGGACTATAAAGGAAATGTATAAGAACGGGCCTAAGTTTATTCATCTTTTCATGGCCTTAAACATGTAAAGATAAAGATTTTAACACCTTTATGTTAGGCCTCGAATGACGTTTTATTTTAGATCCGCCTTTAAGGATCAAACCCCCAGATTTACCAACTGAAAATATTGTCAAAATCTTAACAATATCCGCTATATGAATTCAGTACTAAAACAAAAACTTACGCTGACAACTTCATTTCATGTCAATTTAACTGAAAATAAAAGGTGACAATCTTCTACTATCATTTTGGAAAACAAGGCGTAATATTGTCTTCACACTTGTTCTAAGCGAACCCAAATTCAACCATTCTATAATTAAGTTTTACATGATATTGTAGTTTCCTGTTTCAAATTATTTTTTTCTTTGGTTTTTTATATAACAAGCGTGAAAATTAAAGAAAAATATTTGTTAAAAAATATATGTTAATTTCTTATCAGCGGTACGCCCATACTTAGGGAAGAACTACAAAATATACATTTGAGAAAAACTTAAAAAAAAAATGGAATCATATGATAGCATAAGATTACCTTGCTAATTGTACCATGTGTTTGTGACTTCGTGCGAGCGGCAAGTTATTAGTTTTGTTTGTTTTCGTACGCTGGTCAATCAAAAGTAGTAGATTCTAGCAGGTTCTGGAACAGAGCATCAGTTGTGAACAGCGTTCGAAAATAAACAGTACACTAACATAGTGTACTGTACCGGTACAGTATCACTAAAAAAATGTTTAGCGGTAGTGTTCCGGTACACTACCATTAAAAAATATTTTAGTGATACTGTACCGGAACACAACGATGATCGTAGTGTACCGCAGTCGGAGCGCTAAAAAATCGTAGTGTACCGCAGTCGGAACACTAAAAAATCGTAGTGTACCGGAGTCGGATCATTAAAAAAACGAAGTGTTCCGCAATCGGAGCATTAAAAAATCGTAGTGTAGCACATGACCACATTAAAAAATCGAAATCATAAAACTGATTTTAAACACTCCGCCATACACTGTAAAATATTTAGTTTTTTTACACCAACACTCATTCATTTTTCGGTACCACAAAACAGCAGGTAAATTATTTGCATAATAACCCATTGCAATGCAACCACTAAAATACACTTTTTTCGTGGAAAATTTCAATTCTGAATGGTTAAATACAAATTATTATGACTTTAGATTTGGTCCTTTTTTATTCTTTCTACCTATTCCCATATTTTTCTACTTTCTTCAATCTTGCAACCAATCTACCAACCAAATAAATCCAGCTTTTATTTTCATAATATTGAATTATGCTAGTAATTTTTGTATTATCAAAAACATAAAACATCTAATTTTTCTCACAAATCGTAAACAACACATATGTGGTACACTACCGATACATTATTTTTTTAATGTTCCGCCATGCGGTACACTACGATGCTACGGTGCTCCGACTGCGGAACACTACGATTTCGTAGTGCTCCGACTGCGGAACACTACGTTTTTTAGTGCTCCGACTGCGGTACAGTACGATTCTTGTTGTGCTCCGGTACAGTATCACTAAAATATTTTTAATGGTTGTGCTCCGGTACGGTACATTATGTTAGTGTACCACTCCACCTCGGAACGGTACAGAACACTACGGTACAGTACCATACTGTTTATTTTCGAACGCTGGTTGTGAAACACATGAGTAAAGTAGACATGGTACAATGAAATCAAAGTAGGACACTGCTACCAAGCGATTTTAAATCTATTTATTTGCTTAGCTTAACATGCCAAATTAATTTGTGAATGTGTGTGATCTTGTCTATAATATGAAAAATTCTTGAGAAAATATTCAAATTCAAAATGCTTATAACTTATACATATATGGACAAAATTTGCAGGGCTGAATCCCGAAATTTGGTATTTAGGTCTCTGTTGGTGTCTGTGGTTAAGATATGGAAGTGGGTTTGGAAACGCGCTCTATATTTGTAAGAAAACTTCTTAATAAAATTAAATTTGTTATTTAATTTGTTATAACAATTTACTAAATTGTTATTTATTTTTAATCTCGAAATTTGTTATTTAGGCTTCCGTTGGTGTCTGTGGCTAAAATGTGAAAGTGGGTTTGAAATGTGCCCTATATTTGTAAGAAAACTTCTTAATAATTCTAAAATTAGTGTTGGGTGAAGGAATAAGGCTGGAATCCCGAAATTTGTTATTCAAGTCTCTGTGGTTAAGATATGGAAGTGGGTTTGGAAATGTGCCCTTTATTTGCAAGAAAAATTCTTTATAAAACTAAAATTGCAATTGGATGAAGGAATAAGGCAGGAATTCGGAAAATTTTTATTTAGGCACCTGATGTTGTCATAAGTTAAAATATAGAGGTAGTCTTAGAAAAGCGTTCTATATATGTACAAAAACTACTAAATAATACTAAATTTGGTATTGACTGAAGGAATAAGGATGGAATCCCGAAATTTGTTATTTAGGTCTCTGTTGGTGTCTGTGGTTAAGATATTCAAATGGTTTTAGAAATGTTCCCTATATTTGTAAGAAAACTACATAATAATACTAAAATTGGTATTGGGTGAAGGAATAGGGCTGAATGCCGAAATTTTGTTATTTAGGTCTCTGTTGGTGTATGTGGTTAAGATATGGAAGTGGGTTTGGAAACGCGCTCTATATTTGTAAGAAAACTTCTTAATAAAACTAAATTTGTTATTTAATTTGTTATAACAATTTACTAAATTGTTTTTTATTTTTAATCTCGAAATTTGTTATTTAGGCTTCCGTTGGTGTCTGTGGCTAAAATGTGAAAGTGGGTTTGAAAATGCGCCCTATAGTTGTAAGAAAACTTCTCAATAATACTAAAACTGGTGTTGGGTGAAGAAATAAGGCTGGAATCCAGAAATTTGTTATTTAGGTCTCTGTTTTTGTCTGTGGTTAAGATATGGAAGTGGGTTTGAAAATGCGCTCTATATTTGTAAGAAAATTTCTTAATAGTACTAAAATTGGTACTGGGAGAAGGAATAAGGCTGGAATCCAGAAATTTGTTATTTAGGTCTCTGTTTTTGTCTGTGGTTAAGATATGGAAGTGGGTTTGGAAACGCGCTCTATATTTGTAGGAAAACTTCTTAATAATACTAACTTTGGTGTTGGGTGAAGGAATAAGGCTGGAATCCCGAAATTTGTTATTAAGTCTCTATTATTTAAGTCTTAGACCGCTGTTGGTGTCTGTGGTTAAAATATGGAAGTGGATTTGGATATGCGCACTATATTTGTAAGAAAACTTCTTAATAATACTAAAATTGCTATTGGGTGAAGGAATAAGGCAGCAATCCGGAAATTTTTTATTAAGGCACTTGATGTTGTCAGAATTTAAAATATAGAGATAGTTTTGGAAAAGCGTCCTACATATGTACGAAAACTACTAAATAATACTACATTTGGTATTGGGTGAAGGAAAAAGGCTAGAATCATGAAATTTGTTATACAGGTCTCTGTTAGTGTCTGAGTTTGAGATATGGAGGTGATTTTGCAAACGCGTCCTATATTTGTACAAAAATTACTATGTGATACTATATTTCGTATTGGGTGAAGGAATTAGGCTGTAATCCCGAAATTTGTTATTAAGGTCTCTGTTTGTGTCTGTGGTAAAGATATGGAAGTGGGTTTGGAAATGCGCCCTACATTTGTAAGAAAACTACTTAATAATACTAAAATTGGTTTTGGGTGAAAGAATTAGGCTGTAATCCCGAAATTTGTCTTTGTGTTGTCAGAAGTTAAAATATAGAGTTAGTTTTTGGTAAGGCGTCCTATATATGTACGGAAACTACTAAATAATAATAAATTTGGTATTGGGTGAAGGAATTAGGCTGGAATTATGAAATTTGTTATATAGGTCTCTGTTGGTGTCTGAGGTTAAGATATGGAGGTGATTTTGCAAACGCGTCCTATATTTGTACAAAAAATACTATGTGATACTAAATTTCGTATTGGGTTAAGGAATTAGGCTGTAATCACGAAATTTGTTATTAAGGTCTCTGTTTGTGTCTGTGGTTAAGATATGTTTGAAAAAATTTCTACGTGTATGCGAGAAGTATTAATGCTAATATCGTTTTTTTTTTGTATTCTAGTTAAAGTAATGTAATTTCTCACTATCGCCGTGTGTTCCAACAGGAAAGTTGTCGACTATTTAAAGTTGTTTAAAAACAGTTGAATTCAAATGTTAGTTCTTCAGGATCAAGAAATAGATTTAAAAGTATTAAAAAATCCTGTATAAATAACGATTTTGAAAATTTTAATGTCGGAATGCCGATTTTGATTTAAAAAGTCTTGCAAACTAAACCATGGCCTTTTTGACTGTTTTTTGAGCAATGTTTTATTTTCTAGAGCTTTAGCTGTTCTTTTCTTTTTGACAGCTAAAAAGGTAAAATTTTATTTGCGATCATGAACAATCAACAAAGTAATGTGTAGAACATAAGACGCGATGATAGCGTAATGAATGCCTTCACCTTAAATTAATTAAATTTGTACCGAAGGTGGGTCGTAATCCTAATAGGTTCTAACCAGAACGACATGATTTTTGGGGGGAAATCCGTTTATACTGAGATATGCAAAAATACCCCTATTTACTTTGCTATTTCTAACCCGATAAATGAAATAACAGTTTCAAAATGTCACCATAGGTAGGAATTTGTATCCTGATTATAAAAACAAACCATTTGTTGTTGTATGCTTTTCATTTTCCAATATTTCGAAATTCTTCTTTAGGGAAATGTTCCACAAAAAAAATAAACAAAGTACGACTTATTGACTATATCACGGTTATTTCTAATACTAACAAGTTAATAAACACAGAAAAATGATCGCTTTACACACGTAAGCGTAATTACCAAAAATTAATAATTAACGTTGTTGCAAAATGGTCAGGCTTAATCCAATGGTCAGGCTTAATACCATTATAGTTGTTTTTATAATAACAACGTTTGTTTATTAGTGGAGAACGATGGTAATGTTTACCAAAATTTAAAAATAACTTCTATGACAAAAAACTTTTTTTATCCAAGTGACAAGATTGTAAGCTTAACAGAAGAGGAACCAAAGAATTACATAAAACTAAAATTCTTTTGGAAAAACTTCTAAATCTTACAAAATAATACGGTATCCCGAACAAAAAAGCCAACACTCTTCATTTAATAATTAGCTTAAAGCTGGCGTAGCGTTTCTACCCCGTTAAGTTACATTACATGGGAAAATGTTTATGTCTTAGTCTCTTGTTGCTATGGTTCTCAGATTGAAATATTTTTACGTCGTCAATGTTAGGGGTATGATTATGTATTTTACAGTGTTCGGACAATCCTGTTTTTTGTTTGGCATTTCTTAAAAAACTCTATTTATAAAATTAAAGATGCTGTACAATTTACGGATAAGGTTAAACAATTGACAATTAATGAGAACGAAAAAATTGTCTCCTTCGATGCAGTCTCACTTTTTCCGTATATATCAGTAGATTTAGGACTAAACGTTATTGAAGAATGCGACGACTCGCTTCAAAAAGTGGGCGAACATTTAATGTAAGAAATTTTTGGAACCTATGGTCAATAATAAGTCCTCACTTTTATAAGAAGCCTCAAAAATTCCTTCTTGGCTTCATTTCTTACATGATTAAAATTATTTAAAAACAGTTGAGTTAAAATGTTAGTTCTTCAGGATCAAGAAATAGATTTGAAAGTTTAAAAAAATTCTGTATAAATGACGGTTTTGAACATTTTCATGTCTGAATGCCCAATTTGATTTAATAAGACTTGCAACCGGTTTTCCACGGAAATTATCGGACAAATTAAATTCTTCAGGATCAAGAAATAGATTTGAAAGTTTTAGAAAATCCTGTATAAATGATGGTTTTGAGCATGTTCATGCCTGAATGCCGAATTTGATTTAATAAGACTTGCAAACGAATCTCTATGGAAAGTATCGGAAAATGTTTGTGACCTTTTTGACGTTGTTTTGGACAATGTTTTATTCTCTATAGCTTTAACTGTTCTTTTCCTTTGGCAGCTACGTCTTGTTTGTAAGCTGCACAGCCTCTTTATTTGGTGTTTTGTCCTATTTCTTACGCTGATATTCTCCTGGGAGGTGTACTTCGCGACACCTTACGCATTTTTGTGGTGTGTTGCATTTTCGGGATATATGACGTAAACCTGACGACTATGACACTGTGGATCGCCTTCTATCTTTTAAGGTTCTTCCCAGGAGGTGGATTGATTTTGAATGTTATGCCTGGCAACAATGTTACTAGGAAAAGACTAGTGTCGTTGTTCATTTTTATTGACCTCGGATTGTTGAATTTCGTTACGTTTGCCACTTTATGTGAAACAAGTTTATCAAGTTCCTCTTAATTATTTTCTCGTATTGCGTGTTATGTTTCAAAACAGGTTAGAAATGTCTACGTTTATGGGAGACAGAGCGCTTTGCCTTTTGCGCTCATTTTCTTTTGTTTGTCTTTTTGTTGTTGCCAACGCCGGTAAGGGATGATCAGAAATAGTTGCAGCTATATCTGTAACATTAAAGTCCATATCTGGAAGATAACAAGCACCCCCATTTCAATGTCACTACACCAGATTTATTTTATTATCTTTTATTGGAGCTAAAAATCTTTCAAGTTTTAGGTTTCACTAGGCTTTTTGTAACCTTAACTGACAGTATTATTGACGTGCATCAAAATAAATATACTCGTAAGACTAAGTAACAAAACCAATTCGAATGTGTCTGCTAAACAATTGTAACTAAAAATATTGCGATTGATATATGCGTGGTACTACAAAAAGGTGGAAGGTACCAGATGGCTAAAATGTTTTCAGTTTTGTGTATGTATATATATATATATATATATATATATATATATATATATATATATATATATATATATATATATATATTCAAAACCAATCATTGCGAATTGTAATTTTTTTGTCTGTCTGTGTCTGCTTAACAATTGTAAATAAAAATATTGTGATTGATATATGCGTGGTACTACAAAAAGGCAAAGTGGAAGGTACCAGATGGCTATAATTTTATATATATATATATATATATATATATATATATATATATATATATATATATATATATATATATATATATATATATATATATATATATATATATATATATATATTCAAAACCAATCATTGCGATTACCCATTTTTGGGAAAATTATGAAATAAATGAAAACAACTTGTGTCACATAATTTTGAATAATTATGACAGGTAGTAGCCCCACTACCCATGGTGCAATAAAGAGGTAGAACAGCTTAGTTATATATATATATATATATATATATATATATATATATATATATATATATATATATATATATATATATATATATATATATATATATTCAAAACCAATCATTGCGATTACCCATTTTTGGGAAAATTATGAAATAAATGAAAACAACTTGTGTCACATAATTTTGAATAATTATGACAGGTAGTAGCCCCACTGGTGCAATAAAGAGGTAGAACAGCTTAGTTAAACTAAAGAAATACAGCCCTAAGACCATGCCCGCTTGCTGTCAGACTCATTCAAATTTATATGCAACAAGTTGTTTTCATTTTTTCCTCATAAATGCGCGAAAAATGAGTGAAATGCCTGGATTTTCGCTCAAAGATATGATCCAAACTGTTTAATCTTTAAATTTCATGACTAAACTGTTTAATAGCTTTAATGCGCGAGCCGCAATCAACGTGTCTTCCAATCATTGTTTTCATTTTTCAAAACAATAAATACATACAAAAAATTGGCAGAAGTTGGCACACTTCGAAAAAATTGGAAAAAAAATCAGATTGTAGCTC